CGCTGCGCTCCTTGCGCGCGCTGCGGGCGGCCGTGGCCGCGCCGCGCGGGCTGGCCGTCGACTGGGAGCTGTACCTGGCCAACAACAGCATCGAGCGCGTCGAGCTGGACGACCTGCCGCCCAATGTCACGGTGACTACGAACTCTTAAACAGTTTTATGTAAGCGATGAGACCCGTGATGTCGGGGTGGCACGGACGCTTAAGACATGCTTCCCAAGCCTGAGGGCATTAGATAGACATGTCATAGGCGAATTGTATAATCCGCCGTATTACATTACATAGCCATTTAGAAAAGCAGGGCCGTTTTGGGATACGGCGACGGCACACGTTTAGCCTCATTGTAATTAATTATGTTACAATGGATGGTCTGGGTGATAGTTTTTAGTATTAAAATGAAACGTTATTCCAAGATGGCGGCTATAAAAAGTCACAAACTTAGTTGTCATGAATGTCGTTTTCGTGGTTTTTGAGGGTGATAAAAGTGATAGTGCTGTCAAAAAGTAAATCTTGGGTAGCTCGCCGCACGACATAACCAGCCACGAGCGCGCGCGCCTCAAAAAGCCATCAGACCACCACGGATGGGGCTGATGCCGATACGGAGCCGCGGAGGACTTAACGGATTGCCGGGGCTCAGGCTCCAAGGCCAGGAGTAGGAACGGGGTGGTTTTTAGTCAGTAACAGTTTGACACTCCCTCTCGCCTCTCCCAAGCGGGAGAAATCATTCGATGATTTTCACCCCCTAAAAAAAAGATCAACTTATCTGCCGCGAGTATGGTTTTCGTGATTTTCGAGGGTGAGACAATTTCGTGCAGCGGCCAATCTTGGATTTGCATTTTGACAGCACCATCATTTTCACCACCCTCGAAAAAATGGATACAACCACTCATGACTCGCATTGACAACACTACTATTGCAGATCGTTTCATATTGAGAATCCGTTCAGCCGCCGCGCTGTATCGCAAAACAGTTGTGATCATTACACCTGCTGTTTTATTACTTTATCCAAGTCTTCCAATGTATTCATAATAGGTAGTCAATGTGATTAATTCTGCTTCATTTATGACTTTGACCAAATTATGAATTACGTTTTTACGATACCCTTATTACCTGTAGTGTTTTAATACAAAGTGATCCATCGATGTCAGGTTTTGGACTTGCGCAACAACTCTGTGAGCTCGCTGAGCGTCCGCACGGCCCGCGAGCTCGTGCAGCGCGGCCTGCGCCTCGCCGGCAACCCGCTGCACTGCGGCTGCGGCGCCGCCGACGTCCTCGCCGTGCTGCGCGCGCGCCTGGCCGACCTGCCCCGCGCCACCTGCCGCGACGGCGAGGACGTCGGC